TTATAGGAAAACAGCTGTGTAAGTGGCAGAATGCCTCTAGCTCAGCGTTTCTGAAATGGGATTGTCAAAACTTCAGGAAATATGGGGGGGGAGGGAAATATCTTTTCATTTCAAAGGAGGGTAGCTGAGCTATTTGGTCTTTAGTGGTGAGCATGCTGTTTGCATCAGAGATGAAGATGGTGTATTTTACGTTGCTTTTCATTGCACAGCTCAAATATGATGAGGAATCCTCCACGTAGGTCCTGTACAAGCTAATAAGAGAGAAGCTGAGGCAAGGTTCTGTTTTATAAAAGGCAAAGTGCTACCAGTAGATGAGACCAAAAAGTTTCTTTAATATTGACTTGAGGAGAATAGAGTTACAAAAGTAATAGGATAATGATGTTTTTAGCTGCTCAAAAACCGTAATCACAGGCTAATGCTCGACATTATATGACACAATGCATGAGTGTCATAGGTGAAGTATATATTTAATGCCTTTATCCAGCTAACTTCAAACAGTTGTGACTTTTTTCTTTTTTTATTGGTAAATTTTCTCATGTGTTTTAATCTGATTCCTTGAAGAGCTGTATTAAATTATAGTGTGCTGTTGAATGTTCATAAATAGTAGCTATGTTCTGTACCATTGATGACTGTTTTCACTGTTGAGTAAAATCCATCTTGGTTATCCTTAGTACATCTATACTTGGTTATCCTTAGTACATCTATACTTCTGCAAGGTTTAAATTTATTCTCTGAGAAAGGAGACCCCCCCAAAATTAAAAAAAGTTGTGCAGATCTCATGGCAATTAAAACATCATTATATTGGGGAAAAATGTGCTGGAACAATGAATGGATTTAGTTACCAAATAGGTTTTTGCTTGGAAATTCTGGCCTCGGGCACAGAAAGGAGCTGACTATCTGGCAAAGCCTTTAAGCTCCCAGGTGAGTTAAAAGTCATATGACCCAAGGCATGTACACATATATATACACACGCAGGTCAAGTGACTGCTTCGTTTCTTCTCCTGGACTGAGAGGACTTGTTTTACTCTTAGATCCAGGGTTAAAAATACATTCTGTATTATTTATATATTTTTCCTTTTGGTAACGGGCATAGTAGGGTTTTTGCTTGAACTTCAGGGTGGTTTTTTACCTGCTCTTTTGGACTCTGAAGATAAAGAAATACTCAGGGAAAAAAAAATTCTACCTACGGATGGACAGTTCTGTAGAGGCGGCAGCCCCCAAAATGCTGCATATGAGTTCCACGTCTACAAATAGAGGTAAGGAGATTAAGGTATGGTTTAGGAAGATCTTTTTTTTTATGACATAGTCATGAGACTGCATCAGAAATCAAAATTTTCGCAGCCTTAAGGTAGAGAGCAGGCTTGAGGGAAAATTCTGTCTTGATGGGGAGCTGGTAGTGGTTGGAGATGGAACTCTTAGGGTGTGAAATAGGCTGGAGGCTGAGATTTTACAGAAGTTTGAGTCATTTGCTTGTTTGCAGTTTCTCCTTGCCTCCCTAGTACGGCTGTGCCTGGTTGAAGGTGGCTGTTGCCGTTAGCGGGATCTAGGAGTTGTTTTTCAGATGACATTATGTTCTGCGGGGGCCTGTCCCAGCAGTGAGCGTTGAGAAACCTGCATTTGGTTCCAGGTTTCCCTTGTGATCTTCTGCGAGGCGTATAATCTTTCGGTGTCTTGGTTTCATCATTATTTATATACATTATTTATCAAATAACATCTCAGGGCAACGACGTGTTGTGAGCAGCGTGCTGATGTTTATGAGATTTTCAGAAACTCATGTAAATAGCAAAGACTTGCGTAGGGTAGGGGAAAGGGATGTCAGCTGCTTTGTATGGGCTGGGATCTGCTGCTTTCCTGAATGGGACGCGCTGGTTTGATAAATTGGGAGGCTGCTCATTCATTTTAATTTGTTTTTTCCTGTGTCTGGTGGGAGCTCTTTCAGTAAATTTCATTTGCTTCTGCAATATGTTTAGGCTACAAGGAGCTTGAGGGTGTAATACAAAGTGTTGATTTTAGTTTATTGTCTCTTGGCTATTGTATTTACTTTATATCTAGACAGTGTCAAACAGTTAAGCTTAATTACGATTTGTAATTTGTAAATCCTAATTAATAAAGCTATAACATGAATTCGTTTCAACTGCCATTGATTTCAGCACTGATGTAATTTATGTTGTTGTTTAAACTGACATAGTTGTGAGTTATACTAACACAAAGGATACTGTTGTCAGTACATAATTGTGTATCCATAATTGTGTATCTGTATTGGAAATATTTTCCACTTAAAGTATCCTGTAAAAGCCCCGTTTCTGCTTACGGCTGTTTTGGAATCCCACTGCTGCTGTTTGTTTCTTTGCAGTCACATTTGACTGATTGTTAAAAAGTATGGGTTTTTTCCCTGTTTCTTTGTGTATGACAGAAAGAAAATAACTTTTAAATAGAAATTATAATAATTGGCTATTCACAAAGCCCTGTCAGGCTGGAAAAAAAAATTCTCTTCATCAGATCTGTCTGATCTAACCTTGCTGTAGTAGAAGAACCACCTTCTTTCTCTAGATGGAGGAACTGAGCCCAGAGCTTTTAGTTTTTTCTCCAAATTATGGAATTATGTAGCAAACGATTGAGAAAGAAATAGTATTTCCTAGAACTTGTCATTGTTTTGTTTGCTATAGCTCCTCATTTGAATTAGATTTGTATGGGCTTTTTCACCTGCTCTTTGGCCCTTAGTACAGTGGAAAGTTGTCTCTCTAGGACTGTGGTTTTATTAGCCCAAAGCAAATTGAGAATTTTCACTTTAAACTCCAGCTGTTTTGTAAACTTATGGCTTATTTCTTTTCCATTTGCATCACTACCATTCATAATGCCATGGAAGTAAGGTATGAAAACCAAACTAAAGACTTTTGTGGAATATGGCATACCATGAGCGGTCCTTATCTCAGTAGTACTGAAGTTTGAATATATTTAATAAAAGACATCATTGGAACTGGACTGGGATTTAGAGTGCTCTATTTAAGGGATAGTAATGATGCAGCAGCCTGAAAGCACTGAATCTTCAGTGTGTGCTATAGGAATTCACACCAGTGAATTTTCACCTGAAAAAAGGACTGTTAGATTTGTTTTATTTGCATTAGGATTCCTAGACATTTCCTTAAGGGGAACAGATCGTACAGAAGTAAAAAGGTGTAATTAGTGTCAATGTCAACCTAAGTGGGGATTTTGTGGTGGAGCTCTTTTCATTTATTGCGCCATACAAGTAGCAGAACATCTTAGGATAATGTGATGGTATTAATCTGTAAATTGTGCTGTGATACATCAAAGACTTTGAGAAGATAATGAACATGTGAGTAATTAAATCACCATTACATAATGGGCATTTGCAAAGAAGTTAGTTGGGGAACGTAATTGGTCTTCAGTGTACATGCTGAAAACCGGAGCATTATGGAGGAGATGTTGCAGGAAACAATCTGACCCCTGTGTACAAGAAGCCTCTTTGGAAGTGTGGAGAGATGCCACTCCAGATAGGTTTCATTTAATTTACTGTTCCAAATTTGAGATTGTTTTGGTGTAAGCAAGTCAGGCCTGAGGCATATGACAGCTCCATGTTTTCTTGCCGGGATTCCAGATACTGGTGAGCAAGTCTTATAGGATTAATATTATGTCATCAAATAGCATGACAGGCTCCCAGGAAAACATGGCCTGTCACAGCGATGCAATGAAATCACCATTGCCTGGAACGCTGTGTTCCTTCGTGCTGAGTGAACAGAGTCGGTTCTGCTGGGGCTTTTAAGGCTCTGCTGGTTCCATTTCTCCTTGCTCTGCCGGCGCGTGTGCAGAGTTGCTCTGCCTACCAGGCCAGCACCACCTCTTCCAATACCACTGTGGCATCTTTTTCATCTTAACTTCCACTTGGGTCAGTCGAGGTTTTCCCGGCAGCACTGCTAAGTTGTTTCCAGTTCTTCCCCAACTTGCATTTCCAAACATCTTTGGGTAGTAACTGAGAAACAACGAATGTTTCGCAGAAGATATACTACAGATTTGGGGGTTTATTTTGGCTGCATTGTTCTACCAGAAGTTCTGTTTTCCACTTGCAAGGTAGGTATTTTTGCAACTGTCCTGAAACAAAGATTAATGGCCTGACATAGTGATGATTGCTGAAGAATATTCATCCGTATGTGGCTGAGTGTTTCTGTTTTTTAATGATTGTGAGTTCTGGTCAGTGGTGGTTTTGGTTTCACCTGTGCTGTTGAATACATTGGATAGATATTCTGGGTGTGTTCTTAACATACCTGAGTGTTGAGATATCAGAGTGGAAGGACCACTTATTTATTGTGATAGTCGTAGATATTTATTGATGACCTTGTGTTTTGGTATATTCTGGATTTTCTTCAGTACCTGTTGGTCTATGGGAAGCTGCTTCTGAAGATGAGGTGGGGAATGGAAAACTTCTTATGTGATCGCTTTCCAGTAAAAAAGGGTGTGCGAAAGACTCAGAAAAGTCAGTAGAAGTTTTTCATGATTCTCTTTTTGGTAGGTTCCCCTCCACCCAAAAATACAAACATATGCATGTGACCGTATAGACTAATCTAATTATAAAGCACCTCCCCTGTCCAAAACAGCACAGCAGGTATTAAAAATCCAGGGCATTAATGTAGTAGTAATTTGAAGTTTGTGCTGTTGTAAATCATGTGCTGGAACATGATGAGAACATTATAAAAAGGGGAGGCAGCGCTGTAAGGGAATGCGCAATAATATTGATAGTCCTCAGAAACGGGGAGCCTTCCTGACGGAAATACTTGGATGCTTAGGAATGATTACCAAATTTTGTGACCCATCCGTACCTATTTCCAAATCTGACTTGGGTGCTCACCTGAAAAGTTACAGTGGAAGTACTGGAAGCCAGCTGTGGATAGGATTAATTACTTACGAGTGTTTATAACATCAGCTTTTATATGTTGCTAAGGATTCTTGCTTTTTTTTTTTTTTCCTCCCTCTTTTATTCTAGTTTCTCCTTCTGGCTTTGAGAGCGTTGCTCCTGTAGAAGAGGATCTGAACGGCAAGCTGATGAACGAAGACATACGTATCCATAGCTGGCCTTGTTCTTACTACTTGGACACCAGCAAACAATGGGTCTCTGGCAGACTCTTGCTGACTCCTGTTGCCATCAAATTTACAGCTGACAAGACTGGGGAGCTTTTGGTCAACTTCCATCTTTCTAGTATCGGTGAGATCAAGAAGGAATCTTCAAATTTAATCTTCAGCTCCCTTACCATCTTGGAGAAGAACACCAAGCACTGGTTCAGTTCTCTGCAACCCAACAGAAATGTGGTCTTCAACATCATTGAGCACTTCTGGAGAGAGCAGTTGCTGTCTAGTCAAGGTGCAGGAGCAGAAGCAGCAGCTTTGCAGTCAACAAAGGGAAAAGAACTGACGGGGTTATTGACTGGATCGCAGAAACGACTGGAGGACACAGCAAAAGTGCTGCATTACCAGGGCGAGCAGTTTGATAATATCATGAGAGGGCTCAACAAGATCGAAGGGGATATGGATGTAGCAGACAGGTACGATACTGTAGCATCCTGAGCTAAGCAGTGCTTGTGGGATTGTATTGTTTATACCCGAAATTTATGGGGCAGATCCACAGAAGTCTTTAGGAAACTAAACTGTTGACTTTCACTTGAAGTTTAAGCCCATGATGGTCTTTTGCAGATCTAGTTCTTGTAACAAGTTATTTCTGTATTTCCGTCCTCCCGTCTGTGTGACATTTTTTCACCCTGGTGAAGTTGTTTGTGTGTATGTACCTGTCCTCTTTCCTTCAAATAACTTTTCAAGCCCTGATGACTTTCAACCACAACTGGCAGAAATGGTCGAGATCTCCAAAATATTAACAACCTATAAGTTTTGAGAGAGTTGGCAACTAGTTAGGGGGAAGAGGTGCAAATTAATATCCCCACTGAAGGACAAGGTATGGCATTCACATTTTTATTAGATGTCCTAGAATATACATAAATGAAAAATACTGAAAGTTGGGTTTGGTTGATTTTGCCAGTCCTGGACCATACTGTTTTGCTGTTCCGCAGCAAACACAACCACAGTTCTGCTTTTCTGGTTCTTGTCAAAGGAAATGTTGACTATGGCAGGTGAACTGCTCACTTGAAGACAGTGTCCTCGAGTTATCAGGAGACAGCTGCTAATTAATTTTTAGTTCCAGTAGATTGTACTCCTTTCTCTGTGCATGGAAGTCAGCTCTTGAGGCTGCTTTTTGCATACAGAGTGTGTGTAGTTGAGGGCTTTATATTTGCCCGTTCCTTCACAAGAACTTACTCCACGCAAGAGGGAGGGTTGGGTCTGCAGTGCGGATGTAGTCAGGGAAATGGCTGCAGAAACAGCGCTCTCTTATTTGTGCTGTAAAACTGCACTGCTTTTAACCTTACATGGAATACTCCCTGCCTTTAGGTCTAGGTGGAATAAATACATTTTGAGGAAAAAATGAGCAGTGTTGAGCAGCACTGAACTGCTGAGCTTTGTAGAGTCCGGTGGTGCAGGAACTGGAGAGACAGCACTCGTCTACTTGTGGCAATCTCAATCAGGTGTTTAAGCCAGTATATTAAAAAAAAAAAATAGCCACCAAGTGCTGCCTTTAGACAACTGAAGTAAGAGATTTGGAGTACATTTGAGATGCTGCTTAACTTGGGCTGTTGCAGGACTCAGTGTGAATAGTAAATGGTGGTGTCTTAATCAGAACATTATGACTTTACTATTTAATGATTAACATTCAAAGTGAATTATTCTATGCTGTTTTGTATGCGGCAAGTTGGATTCGCTAGCAGTCAAAATAGACAGTAAGGTTAAGAGTAGTATTGTAATGTTTGAAGATATATAGCTATGAGTGTCTTTGGAAGCTCTGACACCTGCATGAAGAAACAAACGGAACAGAGTTCAGACTAGTTGGTTTTGGAAGAAGCCTCTGTTTTTAGATGGATATCATGTCTAAAAGAAGGTGTTGATTTCACAATGATTCTGGTGATATTCTTCATATCCTTTAATGAAAAGCCAAGATAACTGAAAGCTTCAGCAATAGCTTTTAAAGTTCTGTAGCAATAAACAATGAGTAGGAAAATAAATACCTGCTCATTGTTTTTGGAAGAAAGTTTTGTTTTGGGTTAAGATGCACTGGGAGGTATTATTTGTCCTCATGAGTCTGAAAAGCTCGATGCTTTGATTTAAAAACGGAAAAATAAAGGAAGGCATTGACCAAATGTTAGCTGAGATTCTGTTTTATATACAGTATGAGGAGTTTGGCCAGCTTGCTCTCAGGCTAAAACACAGGCAAGAATCCGTTAGCCAAACTGTGTTATAATTGCATTATACTTTTGGGGGAGTTCTAACGCTTAGTTTTTTTGCATAGTTTGTGTGTGTGTTTTTCCTCATAAAGCTGCTCTTCCCCCTCCTGCCCCCCACAATGTCTTCTCCTAAACGGAAGACGTCTTTCTTCATGTCCCTAACCAATGTAGAAACTGGGGAATACCATGACTGAAGCTCATTTGATTGTTATATATTAGGGAAGTCAGACTATTAGCATAGATAATTATGTCTGTTAAGGTTCTTTGCCTCTTGTTTTCTGTAGAACCTTGCTGAGAAGTAACTACATGCAGGACCATTTTACGTGTGGAGCAGGTTTTGTGCAGAAGGAAATGAACTTTTGTGTCTGTTACTTCAAGGTTGTATAAGCGACACCAGTTTGGTGGTGTCTTTTCTAAAAAGAACCAGGCCCCTTTATCTACTTTCGTATGTTTACTGTGATTAACTTTATCTTGCCTGTATGTGTGGGCTTTTTTGGATTATTAATTCTGTTCTTGTGTATGCCTGGGTATATACAGCTGCTTTCAGTGGAACTGTGTGCAGATAAGCAGAGCTGTGCCTGACGTGCTAGCAGATGTTCAAAGACCAAAAATAAACAGAAAGCCAGATTCACTGGTTCCTTTTTAATATATTACTATTAGAGGACAAGGTACTCTGGTTGCAAATTTTCATTTGTATATAAGGTCCGGTCATATAGTTTGTTGATACAGAGGGGTGACTCCTCCGTGGAAGGCCAGGGAAGTTGGCTGGAGCCTTTGTTAGGACTATGGAGCAGAAAAATCTTGACTGTAAATCAGGCATTTGCCCAGCCCAGGATGTCATTCCCTGGGGAAAGAGGGGAGGAGGTGGGTGAGGGGGGTAAAGTGATAAAAATTAGGGCTCCAAGCTATCCAAAATAAGTTACCACAATGTAAATGGAGGTTTAGACTTGTCATGTTGCAGCTGCTTTTCAGTGAGTGACTGCACATGCTTTTCTCACGGTGAATGTGATGAACCGAAGACATACTGCGGTGGGAATTTAATGACTTTTCACAGGTTAAAACACAGGCATAAGCTGTCATTGCCCTGAAGTACCTTGTAACTCTTTCATAGACCAAGAGGACAGAAAACACGCTTTGTGTTCTGTAGAAATGAGATCAGGTCGTTTGTTTCTGTGTAGTTACAGCAGGTATGTTAAAGCACGGCTTTTAATTTGGAAAATGGTGTGTGCTAGCAGAGCCTAGGGCTTGTTCAGTTATTTTCTGTGTTGAACTTAAGTTGAACCTCATAGTTTCAGAATTCAGCCCTAAATCTATGATACTGTGCCATTTCAAATTCTGTTATTGTAGAAGTTTCTGTTACATCTCCTTTGGTCTGTCCCCCCCCGTGTTTTTAAAGGAGTGTCGCAGCATTTTCAGAGGGCAGCAGAGAGCTCCAGACCCATTACTCATCTTGCATGCTATCTACATAAATATCTGATGTCTGTGCTTTAGTTGGGAGTAGATTCTTGGAGCGATTCATTCTGCCTCCGCTATCCATGAATTCAGTGGTTGACTCCCAATATGACTTTTTCTGCTTTTCCTAGCAGATGAATTTCTTTAAGTAGGTCTGTTTTGAAGCTGGTGCTGAACTTTGATGGCTAGTAAACAAAGCATGTTCAGTTAGAGCTTCCTCTTTCAGATTAAACTTTGTCTGCAGCCAAATTAAACAGGATTTTAAAATTGCAAAGTCTTCTGTAGCTGCACTCTGATTCTCTCATGGAAAATGAATCGTTACAAAAAGTATCTTGAGAGGAGCACTGCTGTGATGCATATTTCATCAGGCGGTACCTTTCTAGAGTAAACTTAAAAGCAAATTAAATCAAGCTGGCTCTCCAAAATAGCAGTCAAGCAATAGTACTTTGTGTTTTGGTCGGATAAGGCTTGCATCTCTAGGATTTAAGTCAGTAAATAGTCTTTTGTAGCATCAGTAAGATCACAGTGTTTCATTAATGATTCTATTACGTGGACTGGCTTCATTAGAAGCATCTGCTGCAACTGCTGTGCTGGTGGCACATGCCTAGTCACTGGATAGTCTTTAAGGCATTTGTGGAGTGTGAGGGACACAATTCTGATCTGGGTTTCACATCCTTAGAGCTTTTTCTTTTTTCTTTGGTTTAAATAGAACCTCTTCCCTCCCGTTGAGAAGCCATTTGTGCCTGCAGAGATGGCTTTCCTGTTCTGCTCTGTGACTGTTGGGTGGGTTGAGAAATCTCCATTTAAAACATCCTGATCAGGCTAGTGGTCTGCAGGCCGGTTTGGTTTGTGGGATGCTTCCAGCCAGCTCACCGGTGTTTTCCAGTGGGGACTGGGTACGGTTGTTTGAACAGTGGATGCATCCTAGAGGGCTGACTTGCCCCTTCCTATGCAACTGGAGACGAGCTGTTTCAGCTCAGATGCGAGGTGGGTGCTGGAGGCTGCTGGTGGGTGAGAGAGGTGGTGGGTGGTTGCACAGTTTGGAGGAAGCAGGGTGATCTGAAGTTACTGTTGACTGCGCGGGGAGATCTAGTTGGCCCCAAAATTTTTTTCCAGCCACTGAGGCCGAGTCATCCTGAAATACAGGATGCTCTGCTAGCCGGATGGGTTTCGGTGATGGGATGAGAGGAAAGTTAGAGAAAAGGAGCATTGTAGGTGCTGACTGTGGCTCTGCCTTTAGCTCCCATCTACACCTGGAAAGGGATGCTAACAGATAGGTAGCACAGCACATGGAAAATCAAACCAAACCCACATCACCTCTCCTCTCATTCCCTTTTTTTGTGGTGGGGCTTAGACCCGAAGACATCTGTGATTCTGATCCTTTCTTGGGAGAGGACCCCAGAAGAGGAGTATGGGCTGTACTGATTGAAAATCCAACAGAAGGATCGTGTCCTCCGTATCATTGATTCTTCCTAACAGCTTGTAACATCTTTCTTGCCTGCAGCTGAGAAAACCTAGGTGCCTGCTTAGGTGCATCTTCTTGCTTAGAAATAAGAGGCTGTGTTAATTCTGGCTGTACAGTGGTCTTCCTTCGGAGGAGTTGCTTAATTCCTTCATAAAGTGAGTGCGGTTATCTTTAAGCTAAGGCAACACTTTGCCAGCCAGGAGGTCTGTCTCCTTCAGGAGCTACACCAACGTTGATGGTGAGGTAGACGCTGGACGCCAGTGGGCAGTCTCTGCTGGGCTTTTCAGCCTCAATCTTGTGCTCTTTGTGTTTTAACTGGCAATGGGGATTTGGAAGTGGGGGCAAAGCAATGGTGGCATCTGAGGTATAAAGGAGCAGAAAAAGGCAGTGGTGATGATGGCCAAGTGCGGAAACATTGAGGTAAAAGGCAGTGTTAGCTGAAGAACAGATGGGTGTAAATTGGCCTGAATAAATCCAGTTGGAAGTTGGACTTCTTACATCAGAACAGTGAGATTCTGGGACCGCTTTCCAACGTGTTAGCAAATGAAGAAAAGCTGGTTTTTAAAACGGATGGATCCTGGTGAGCTGTGAATAGGTTTGAGGGGCGAAATAACAGAAGGCTGGATTGAGTATTAAGAAATATTTGTGTCTGCGGTAATTTGCTTTGAACTGGTGGGGTAGCACGACCCTCCTACTGGCTTTCACTCTTCTAACACTCTCTTTTCTCCACTAGGTTGTTGACTGAGCTCGAATCTCCTTCTTGGTGGCCGTTTAGCAGCAAGCTCTGGAAAGCGCCCTTGGAAACCAAGCCAAAGGAAACTGCCACAGTTTCCGATTCGAAGAACCAGGAAGGAATCATAATTAGAATTCCAGTTATTATCACCCACAGAACAGACTCAAATGTCAAGCCAGGAAAACTCACGCTCTTTGCATCTGGCCTGGAAATCAGTGACTGCAATTCTCAGGTCATTCACCGGTTTGAATCAAAGGATGTGGATGATATCAGAGTTCATACGCCATATGAAATCAGTGTCCGACAGAGATTTATTGGGAAGCCCGACACCTCTTACAGGCTTTTGTCAGCAAAGATGCCAGAAGCAATCCCCATCTTGGAGATGCAGTTTAGCAAGAAGATGCAGTTTTTAGAAGATGCCCTAGGATTTGTTGGTGCCAGGAAGTCTCCGCAGGTAGATTTGGGGACCTCCATTTGGCAAGCAGGTATGTGACAGACAAAGCAATCTATCTGTAAGCAGTGACACTAGCCCTAAGTGTTTTGAAGTGATTTTCAAACTCTGAATAGTGTATAGTATTTTCAAGGCAAATCCTCTCTCACCTGCCCCAACGGTGAGACCATGCTGATGGTCAGAGGCAAGAAATAACTTCTGGGTGACATTAGGCCCTCTTGCCAAGAGGGAGCGGGTAGAGATGACAGAAGCGTGTGGCCCTGTTTGAGTCCAGTTGGATTTGATTTCTCCCAACTACATTAGCAAAACCTGTGACTGCAGATGCTGAAGCTGAGTGTCCCTTGGGGGACCTGGCAGCTGGAACATGCCAAACCCTCTTTAATGTAGCGCTCTCAGCTGGTGTTGTCACTAACTCCACACCACTTTGTGAAAGGATTATCTTAATTTGGCCAGCTACTGGCCTGTTTTTTAACTACAATGTCATTCTTTTTCCAGTGGTCACCAATTCAGTATTGTGCCACTCTGTGCTGAAAGGTCACTAGAAATTTATTCGTTCCTCCTGGCTGCATGCTTCAGGGTCCTCTGTCACTGCTATTTTTCCTTTGTCAGTTTGTACCTGGAAGCATATTTATATTAAACCTGTAGTTCGGTTAATTGTAGAAAGTTTAAAACAAATTGCCAGTCCAGCAAGTTTTTAAATAACATATGGGATAAACATCATGTTAGTTTTCATAGTTAGTAAAAACCAGAATTTTGTTATTTGAGAAGTTCAGGTGTTTGCATTTAGGAGGTTTTTAGTCTCAGATTAGGTGAATGCATAGTTTAATCATTTTAAGAAAAAATAGAGAAGACTGAAACCCTTTCACAACAATAAGAATGACATTCCTTACTACTATTATTTCTTCTAAAATTCCGGGGAGGATTGTTTTTTTGTTTTTCGTAATCCGACCCTGAATTCATTTGGAGAACTGGTGAATTTTTGTCGGTTAGGAATTTTTCTCTCAACACGCCTGAATCCTCTTTTTTTCTTAATTGTTAGCGACAAAAGAGCAAATTGGTGGATGGATTTTATTGCCAGCATATTAAAAACAAGTAGAAAAATGATACAGTAAAACAATAGATTAATCTATTTCTGTGCACCAAGCTAAAACTGGACTTCAGCAGGGAGGATAATGTCCTCTTGTTGACGAGTAGAGGGCCATAGCTTGGAAAAGCTTGTTAATTTTTAAGGAAGTAGGTCTTGGGCATCTGGCACTAAAATGTCAGCACAACAACTTAAGAGGAAAAACAACCTGCTGGTTTCTTAAGCGCTGAGTTATTCCAGCAAATTGGTGTTCAGTTCCTGATGGTCTTAAGGCTGGTTACATAAAATAATTGGATATACAGCCCTACTGTGCTTAATTTCCCACTGCTCTGCTCTGTTTGCATCTGAGTCAGTGAGTCAAGGATATTGCTCTCCTACCCCCACCTGCATTTTGACTGTTTAATTTGGAAATGTCAGTAAAGAAAACTGGAGGTTATGGAAATCCTGACTTCTCCAGCTCCACCAAAACCCTTGTTTGTTCCTTCCCGGGAGTCTGTTGCTGTCTGTCTTCTGTCGCAAGATGGCAGTCACGGACCGTGTTTTAACCTCTGGGTTTTTTCCATGGCTGCTCACATGGTGGAAATACTGATATATATTTTTTT